AATACACGAACCAAATGCAGGGGAAGCGGTAATCTCCCGATCGAAATCCACGAACGGCTCCAAACTCTCGAACGGCAATAAACGAACTGCTAGTAACCGTCGAACAATAATATCCCCAAAGCGGCTTTCGTTCCATCCAGCAGTCTCTAAACGTGAAGAAGAAATCCCCCCAATAACGAGACAGAAGCTCCGCATTGAGGGTCAAATAAGATCTGGTTTTACTGTGGGCTACCTGCCCGTATTTATGCAGGTCTCCCACCTGGTGGACACTCCCCTAGGGGACCAAATGGGAAACTTAAACTACAGACAGATAGAAGGACATTTCAGACACACAGTCACATATTTTACCCACAGTGCATTCTGATTCCCTCCCCTCTGTACTGGAGTTAATTACCAAGTAACTCAATTAACTCCAGGACAAGGACAGTCGCCATCTTAAACATAAAATAATAAAAGACATAAAAATACATAACTACACGAAAACTGAACATTTCCCATTCGTATTACATGTCCCCAGATAGCCTGGATCTGAGTGCATATTATTAGCGAATAGCGCTCAGATCCCACACACATAGTTCAATCGCCATGGAGTCAAAGTTCTTTCAGTCTTTCGGTATACGAATGACTCCATGGGAGGGCTATCTGGGTTAAGTCTTTTGTATGCTCTCAATCTCCCGAACGGCCGGTGTTCGCATGCTTTCGTGGAGGCAGCCAGGCGTTCCCTTGTTCCAGCGGTGTTCGGCAGAAAAAGTGTCCGTTTTCAGTTCCATAGAAATAGAGCCAAACACCGCTGAGCGTTCGCATGATTTAAAATGGCCGCTGCCTCGTGGTCGACATACGAACGACGACCACCCTGAGTTCGGTTTAATTGAGAAGTGTCTGCGGTTAACCACAACGTTCTAATGGGGATCACTTTGTTAACCAGCAGCACACTCCTCACTTGGGTGGCCGTTCGTTCGGCAGATTTGTTCTGGAAAAAGAGTCATTCGAATGGCTGGGCTATAGAAACCAGCCATTCATACGAACGGGGGACAAACAGACGAACGGGCAAAAATCCAGCAGACAGATGGTTCTGTCACACTAATAGTTACTGCAATTAGAATATTCTGCAGTTGAGTTCCAACTAAAATAAGTATTACAGCTACACGGCAGCCTATCCAGTAGTACATCCAAGTAT